CAGGGGCAGCACCAGCCTTTCCCTTCACTATTGCCAGCGGCCCCTCAGCTCTGCCCCACAGACCCTGCCCAGCATTCAGCACCTCTCACCCCTCGACACAGCACTCGGCCAAGCCCAGGAACAGACAAAACCCACATCAGAAAGGGTCTTACTTCCTCTCGGTTCTCCAACATCCTAGAGCCAGAGCCCAGTGGGAAACATCTGCACAGAGAGAAAAGGACTCAGTAAAACAAGATTAACACATCAGGGTCTCATGTACGCTGCACCCCCCAGGCACCTCACACCTCTGTCCCACCCAGCAGGCACCTCTCCAGCCCCCACATCTGCTGCCCTCCCTGATCCTCTCCCCTCGGTCACCACGAAATAGAGGATGCACTCCTGAGGCAACATGGCCTGTTGGGCTCTCGCTGGGCTGTGCTGGAGAGCGTGTCGTGACCGGAGCTGGAGCCTGCAGCACCTCTTTCCACCACGGCTCGTCTTCAGGTCACCCCTGCCCAACAGAGGGGCACTGGGATGCTGAGGCCTTCCGGGACAGCACTCCAAAATCCCTGGATCACAGGCAGAGGTGAGCAGGGCTCTCAGCTCGGACGGGCTGTAACCACCTGAGGATGGGATGGGGCAGCCTGCTGCTCCTGCTGAGCCGCCTGCCCTCCTCTCCCACAGCACGTCCCTGCTCCCAGGCTGATAACGGGGTCTCTGGGGGAGCTGAACACAACCCCGGGAGAGCTTCTTCCCCAGCGTAACTCCCATTAGCCAGGAACAGCCTCTTCATTGCACAGCACCAAGACCCCAGGTCCCCAGCTTGCTCCTGCAGAGCCAGAACCAGCAACACAGGAGGGAGATGGGGTGGAAGAACCCGGCACAGGCAGGTTTGCACTGAAATGCCAGGGGAGCCGGTTCAGCTGGGGAGGAGAAAACCCTGCATTTATCACGGTTTCCTTCTCCTACTCCCCTCGCTGCCTGCCCAGCAGGAGAAGCAGCCAGCCCGCACCAGGACCCAACCGCCCCTCGCCAGAGGAAACCTGCTTTGCTCCTGCGTAGATCAGACCCGTTCCCCAGCTGCCACCTCAGTCAGTCTCCCATCAGCACCAGACGCAGATACGCCGTTTCTCTCCAGCTCTTTCACAAGTCACTTGAATAAGCAGCAAACTTCGTACCACGATTTCCCCACCCGGTTAGGTTTCGTGTCTGCATTACAACTGCTCTCCCTTGCACCCCTCTGTAACCCCCTTTTCCCCTTCTCCAGTGGGAGCTGGGGGGGCCGACGAGGTACCTGGTGCCCCCCCTCCCCGTGCTGCCCAGCTTTCCCAGCTCAGCTGCGCCATGAGCTGCTCGCACGCTCCCATCGCACCAGCCTCTTCCTCTGCCACATCCCTCCAGCGCTCCCAGGTCCTGCTGGACCACGCCAGCTAATTTGTTCCACCATTACGTGCTCCTGCAGTAATTCCTGTTCTGCAACAGCACCACGAACGCAGTGCCAGGGCTTGGAGGAAGGGGGCGGACAGCGAGATAAACCCACACACACCCAATAAATGCACAGTTCAGGCAGTGAAACCCCTTCGGGGACAGAGGCCCCCCCCCTCGCAGATGCGCTGCGCACACACAGACCAGGAATACTCGTCAGGGGGAGCTGGAAGACCAAGCGTGTCCCATGTCCTGGTTTCACCTCTGCTGCGGGATTGTTTGCAAGAGGTTTTGGAGCCCCTGGGATGAACCGGCGGCGCAGGACTTTGCCTGCCGCAGCCCCGGCTCCCAACACGGCTGCCTGATGGCAGAGGTGAAGCAACCCTTCACCTGTTCCCCATTCCTGGAGCATTGCCTTTTAGGCCATGAGAGCTGCCAAGTGTCAGGCAGCGCTGGAAACCCAACCTTTATTTATACGCTCAGATGTGAAGCGAAGCTCTTCTGAAGACAGAGCTAATTTTAGCTGGGACAAGGGGAGGGGTTGAGCCACAAACCACGCTTTAAAAAAATCTGGCTCCACCGGTTCGCAGGTACTTTCTGCAAGACTTCAGCCACCCGATTCCACCCAGAGAGCACAGAAATCGTTAATAGCAGCGGAGAAGAGTTTTGGGATAGACAGCAAGAGAGCCAGGCTTGCTCTGAGGTGTCTCTGAGTAATTGAACTCTCGCTGGTGTTGGGTCTGGCGGCTGCTGTTTCCAATTTGGGCTGTAAGGGGGAGGGTGAGGGGAACCTACCAAAAAAAACCCAAACCAAAAACCAACCCCCACGCTTCAGCGCACATGATTCTTCCCCTGGGAAAGGAGGGGAGAGAAGGAGCCAAATGTGACATGAGTCACTTTGCTCAGCACGGTAACGGGGGAGCTCCGATCCTCCCCCATGCTGGGGGCACCCAGCCAGAACCAGTTCAGCAGCACAACTTGACCATTATGTTCCCCGGCCTCCCCAGGGGATGCTGCCGCCCTCCCGTTGCTTTTAAAGCTCCTTGCTCTGCATAACAGCCCTGCCTAGATTAAAAATGCAGGAGGGAGAAGAGAAGAGACTCAGAAATTGCCTAATGGAAGAGCAAAGGGTTGCCAGGAAGAGGAATTTAATTTCCCAGCTACTGAAAGGGTGCTCCAAAGAGCAGAGAGACCCAGGAGGGGGAGACAACTCTCTGCAGTCAGCGAGGAGGCGGACAGGCTGCGGGGAAAACCCGAGATCAGACAGTCCGAGCACTCACGTCTTTTACCTATACTTTTATCCGGAGTTGTACCAAGAAACGCATAATCTTATTTACGCTTTATTTGGAGTTAATTGATCTTAACTTGATAAATCAACTTAAATCCAATGGAGAAGGCAGACCTGAGTTAGCTTTAAACAGTTACACCAAATCCTCTTTCAGGGCTTTTGCTTAAAGCCTCAGTTTAAGGGGCCCTGGGATACACAGTTTGGGTTTGATTTAATCTTCCTCCAATTTGCATTTCAGTGTTTCCAGGGCTCACACTTTCAACATCTTCTAGCTAGAAGGACATGAGAGGTGGAAGCCACACAGAAACGCCCCACATCCACACTCCTGGAGCCTCACGACTCTCACCTGCCCGGGATACGACCGACTGACCATCCGGGTGTTTAAGCAGCCAGAGGCACGGTCTGACTGCAGGCTGCCGGGAGGATTGCCTCCCCCGGGCCTGTGCTCATGCTGCTGACAGAGAAAGTGTCAGCTTTTATCTCTCGCTTCCTATCTTTTATCTTCCCTGCTGACTCAGACACAACCTTCGCAGCAGTCTCTACCCCTCCGGATCAGCAGGACCTGCAGCAAGTACTCTTTCCTAACCAGCACACAGCGGTGACGGCTCGGTCCAGCTCGGAGCTGCCTCCCCCAGCTCCGTTCCCGCCCAGGCTTCGCCCCCCCCCCCGCTCCCGCAGCCCCCTCCCAGCCACACCAGAGTCTCCGAGTTCTGAGGAAAACCTGACAGAGGAACTCCACAGCAGGAAAAAAAAGGGAGCGAGTCCCATTTGATTCTGCTTTTTGCTTGTCACGCTTGGGCAGAGCTGTCCACAACCGGTACCGGGGAGGAGGATTCTCGGGGGTTGTCTGCCCACCCGGGAAGGAAAGGGCTCCCCAAAGCTGGGCCCCACCTCGGTCCAGGCTGCCGCGGGAAGGGGACGTCCCCAGCCAGCCCCACACCACAGCTGACGCCGGA